GCCCTGGGGACACGACAACGGGTGGTCCAGGGGGATGCGGGGGTGCAGCTCGGTTTGGTCCCCTTGAGTAGGGGTGGTTGGGGGGGTTTGCGCCACGCGGTGCTTTTCATGCTCTTTATTCAGGTTCATTTTTCTGTAAGATATTTAAAGAGAAGAGTTTGTATTATTTTTTCATACAATGTAGCGTTTGCCATTTGTCACTGCCTCGGTTCTGCTTTCCCAAAGGGATGAAACTGTGAAGCCTCTCCGTGCACTTTTGCCCGGGAAGTCCAAGGCGATGTCCTCTCTGGAGGCGGGAAGGGAGCTCAAACTGTGATGTACCCCGAGCCGTGAGTCAATAAATCCTTCCCTGCTCACTGCCCGGCCTGCTTGGGAATCGCTCACCTCCCCTGGGGGGGCTGGGAGCTCTTGGGGAAAGTGAGGCAGGAGGGGACGATCCCTCTGCTTGGGGTGGTGCGGTGGTACCAGCCTTGGTGGCATCCTCCGGTTTGGTCACCCCCGCGGTGGCAGCGCTGTTGCCCACTTGGTGCTGTTTCCACCCCATCGTGGGTCCCCTCCCCAGCCCTGCGGCTGATGCGCTTCTCTGTCTGCGCTGCCTAGCTGGGCCCCTCCCCAAGCCCCGTGGCCCTTCTCTGCCTGGTTGTGCCCACTGTCACCACACACAATGGCAGAGCCCACGGTGGTGACAGGCGGGTTACGGAGCTGCAGAACCCTCTGCACCGTGGAGCAGCTTTGCCTTCAGTGTCAAACAGCCCCAGGGACCAGCGAGGTGACCTGGGCCCCATGCTGTGGTGGCCCATGGCCGTCCCATGCTGTCCTTCTGTCCTCATCACTTTCCTAACCCAAATTAAGGTCCCCAAGGTGGGGGATCTCCATCCTTGGGGGGAAGTTTGAGCCTTGGCTAGAGAAAACCTGGACCCCAAGGAGCTCACGGGGGGGCGGGGGGGGTGTGATGGGGAAGGGACCAGAGGATGTCCCTGAGGATGTCCCTAGGGATGCTGCAGCTGGGTGAGGAGGGGAGGAGACAGCACAGTCCAAAGGGGTCCCAGCATCTAAGCTGGACGCCCCCTGCCAGGAAAACTTCACGGTTTATTGCCCCCGGGATGCTCAGCCTTGGTGTGGGAAGGACCAGGGGGAGTTGGGGAGGTGCTGGTGGCTCCATTCCCCTTCCCCCAGAGTGGCTCCTTCATCTGACTGCCTGTCCCACCTCACCCCGGTGAAGGGACAGGGGCAAACACTCTGCCAGTGTCGTGGTGCCATTGCAGCGCGAGGGTTCTTTGCTCTGGGAGCAGGACACCATCGCTCCCCAGGAACATCAGCGTGGTGGGGGGAACCTGCTGCAGCCACCACCCCTGAGAAACACTATGGTCATCAACCCCCTGCCACCACGGAAGAGCAGGACCCCAGGGGGGTCCCAGCCAGCAGCGGGAGCCCCCAGTCCCCACAGAACCCTCAACCGCCTGCCAGCCCTTCGCCCAGCTGGATGGAGCTGTAGAGAGAGATGTGCCTGGTGTGGCCACTGCCACCGGGCCAGGCAGGGGCAGAGCCAGGGGAGAGCCAGCAGCTGGCTGTGACAGGGCCAAAGTGGTGGCCACTCTGTCACCCCTGTGACCAGTGACTCATCCCACCATCTGGGAGCCATCAGACAGGGATGTGGCCCTGGCACAGCCCGGGTGGCCCCACACTGTGGCTGTCACCTGCCCAAAACCCCCTGAGATGTGCACACCCTCTGCCCGAATCCAGCTACCAGCGTGTGCGGCAACCCAGCCCCTCACTAGCCCCCTGTCCAGCCAGTGGCAGCCTGGCAGGGCTCCTCGCCCCTGCAGCCCCCCTCAACGAGGCCTGACACCGGCGTGAGGGGCTCAGCAGCCCCACTCCCAGCACCTGGCTGTCCCCCCCGGCCATCACCTCCCAGGAGGGAGAAGGACACCCAAACCAAGCTGTAGGCCACCAAGAGCTGCCCCCCATGCCCCCTGTCCCCTTCAGGGGCCTGCTCTGTCCCCACCCGAGGTGGTTCCCAGGGACATTCCTGGCAGGGCTCTGCCTCAGCTCAACGTGGTGGCCCTTGCTGCAGGAGAGGAGAGAAATGTCCCACATCCCCACAGGCGGGCCAGCAGCCAAGTGCCACCAAGGTGGTGGCCAAAGGCAGTGGTGGCTCCGGCAAGGACATGGCCAAGCTGGTGCGGCTCAGTAGAGCCTCCCCCACCGTCCTGCACGAGGCCCAGACTGAGAGCTCCAGCTCTGGCTGTGATGATGGGGACATGTCACGAGGTTTATCACATTCATGGGTAAGTTTGGGGGATCGGGTGGGAGGGAGAACACAGCTTCCCCCAGCATCTCAGCACTGGTGCTGCAGGGACCCTGCCCCGGGGACAGCAGCTGCCTCCAGGCAGAGAATTGCAGGCAGCGGGGTCCTCGCCAGGCTTGAAATGGGCAAAGAGAGGAGGTGCTGGGATGGGGTCTGGCTGGGGCACACAGCTCCATAGGGATGTCTGGAGCTGGAGAAGGGTTGCTGGGATCCCACCAGGGTGCCCAGCTCCACAGGGACATGGGGAACTGGAGAGGGCTCACTGGGGTCTGGCCAGGAAATGGAGCTCCAGAGGGATGCGGGGACCGGTCCCCATCCTCAGCCACAGGAAGGCTTGCCCACACTGGAGGGTCTTCTGGTGGGAGCGGGGACCTCTGGAGCCCTTTCCACCAGCATTTCTGTGGCTCTGCCTATCCCTTCCTTGAGCCAGAGGCTGGACTAGAGATGTCCTGAGATCTCTCCTGTCCTACACCCAGTGCCTGGTTCTGCAGGGTCTGTCATGGTTGGGACTGTCACCAGAACCACCCTTTGTCCCCTGGATCAGCATCCATCCTTCCAGCTCAGGACTGGGGACTTCACACAGCCCAGGAGCAGCTCAAGGCCTCCTTCGGTGATTTGGGCAGAGAGGTGTCACTGTCACAGCCCCGTGTTCCCCCCCAGCAGCCTGGGCTGGGACAGGATCCACCTCCTTGTGTCCCACATGTCACCAGGTCACTGGGACCTGGTGACTCCACAGGGTAAATCCAGACCCCAGAAATCCCTGCAGGGTGCCGAGGCCAATGCTGGCAGGTCGATACCTGCCTGCCTCAGTTTCCCCTCTTGCCAGGGTGTGTGGGATGGGGGTGCTGGGTGTGGGGATGGGAAGAAGGGGCCATTGCTCCAGCTCCCTGTCCCCCCACAGACAGGGTGATGCGAGGCATGCCAATGTCCTGTGGCTGAGCAAAGCCATGCAGGGGAATCCGATGGGCCCCACATTGCTGCCTCGCTTGCCAGTGGTTTTTGTAGGGTCTACGTAAACACAGCATCTTTAAACACAGCACTGGGGCTATGGCTCTCCCATGCTTCGCTGCAGTATTGCTGCCTTCCCTGATCACCCACCTGTCCCTGCCCCTCTCTGCCAACCAGGGACGTGCGGGTCCCATCCCTGACCCAGCTGGTGGTCCTGGGCGGGAGGAGGCACAGCCAGGGCTTAGCGGGGGGGGG